AAAGGTCTTATGGAAATAGGTTGTTAAGAGTTTGTTGGTATGTTATCTTTAAGAGGATTTATAAACACCAATTGTATAACCCCTATCCTGCGGCTACGTATTCAAGTCATGATGTGTACGAGTAGTAAAAAAGGGGAATTGGTAAAGGATGTTGATACTGTAGAGTATCGGGTGCGGTATAGATCTGCTGGCATTGTGTACGTTTGAAGGGTAAAGTTAGGTGATTTATGTGGTTTGATATGGAACCACTGTCTTTCAGGAGGCTGTGGCTACTGTGCTAGAGCATGTTTTGCATACGTGTTGCACATTTGACAGTGATATAGTGAGTGGGAAGAAGTGTAGAATGAGAGTAAATGCTAGGAAAATCAACTCCAAAACAAACCTGTTCTTGTCAGATACCACTGCTGACAAAGCACACAGACCACAATGTACGTTATAGCCTCATCCAGAATGACATTTGATAGATATTCTAATGTATTTGCCCGTTCCTGAAATCTCACCTTGAAATCGATTCTGACGTAACGGTCGCGCTGGGATAATTATCAGTTCGTATCTGGGTTAATGATCCTCGTGAAATAGCTGTGGCGGTGACCAGTTACAACTAGAGTTATTACTAGTTGATAGCATGATGAGAAGACAGTGTATGCTGTACAAGCAGCAACTGCATTGTAGCACTACCACTAGTATCCTGACTATATGTGTCAATGCCGAGCACTAACAACGCTAAATGTGTGTGCTCTTACAATGCCCTGCAGCTCCCTTCTATTATATTCAAGTACTGGTTTCTAATTGCGATCAACGTCGCTTTGATTATAATTCAATCATTTTATGGCTATTAATATGAAGCCATATTAAAATAATGCTTTATACAAATAATCGGAGTTCTGTTAGATGTCTATTCGTTCAGTCAATTAAACTTTCACCGGAGGAAGCAGTGGCGATAAATTATCTTTAATTAGCCGACGCTGTAATGTTATGTTTACGATTGATGTCAACGTAACTTCAGCAATGACGCTTAAAAGATGCTTCAATGCAAATCGACATTTGAAGAAAAGGGACAATCATTTAATTATAAGCCGCATGTCTGTGATCGTGCAGCTCCAATTGTGTGTCATAATTAATTATTCATAGATAATTTAACTTTAACAAACCAACGCTAAGGCATTGTAACACGAAATAAATCGAAAGGGATCGCGTACACAGTGAACACTACATAGTTGAGCTGCGAATGCTCTGGTAATGGTTGAAATCCGATACATAGGCACTTAAATTGCTCAATTATTTTAAAATAAAAGTATTGATGGCTATTCGATCCGACATCCCTTGCACTCAAATACGCATACGGAATTTTAATGTGTGGATAACGCAACCGTGGACACTCTTATTATAATGCAGGACCACACTTTCGGAAACCAGGTGGAAAAACATTTTACAATGTAGGACCACACCTTCGGAAGCACGGCGTCACGTGTCATAATGTTCATCCACATACGGAAACCAGGTGGCGGTACATTTGTGTAGGTGTTCTAACGTTAAAAAGACACTGATATAAAAATCAAAGTGCTGAAATAGCAAAGGGAGTTTTCTCCACTACCGATGACGTTTAGCAAAAAATGGTTTTAGCGAAGTGTACTAGTAAAAGACATACACAGAATAACCAATATTCCCTGAGGATGTCCCTTTGAAGAACTCCTAGATTTTTATTGAAGGCACCCTTTCCATGGCATATATAGTTTTCGAAGGTTGCCCTCGGTGCTGGTTATTAATTTGCTATAATGCTCTCTCTCGTCTTGTCGGTTAAACAACTATTTTACTTTTGCAGATCGTATAGACACTTTAAAGGAGCCATTGAGAGTCCACAATTACGAGATACGCTTTTTAACTTTCTGTTTTACGAACGTTTTAAGAAAATTCTACTGTAACTGTTCCTGGTCACCTTTGGAAACAAGCTTGGAGACTGCTTACAATCATTTATGACATGGCACAAATTTGACTCTTTAGCACGTTCGTATAGATACAATGTTGCTGCAAATCTCCTGCAACTATGAATGAAAGTCAGTTTTGCCAACAAGTGATTTGATGCCATTAATATCAGTGGGTTACTTATACATCACAAGTCAGTCGCAGATAGCATGCGGACGTATCACCGTACTTCCCGAATATTTCTTACAGTGATTCTAATCCAATTACTCCCAACCATTTCAACTACAACCAAACGCTACAATAACTAGATTGAAAATATCGCATAATAAGCTCCTCCTTTAGGAAGTTCTTGTTCATATCCGTACAATTTAAACTGTCGTCCAGCTAGGGACGTAATAACTAGCCACTAAATTGTATCCATGTTTTGTAAAGCTACGAAAACGTTTCACAAAGAAAAACGCCAACCATAAAAGAAAGAATGTGATTTTCAAGGTATAAACAAATTCTCTGGAAGGCTACGCCTGACATGTCTTTGAGATCTGGACTTGTATTCATGAAACCATTTTCATGCTCAATCATGGATTTTGTGCTCAAACCAACTTTCTAGTAACTCAGTTAAATCATGCCAAGCGATCAAAAAGTCAAATGTAAACATTGAAAACAGTATTCGGCTTTACGTCTCTTCAATTTTTTTTAACGAATCATTGACAAAATACGATGGGATTATTAGTTCATAACGGAAATAAGAATCTTGACTTAAGCACAAAATGCATGTTTGAGCATGAGAACGATTACATGAACCCCAGGGCTTTTTGTGCTTGTAGAATACGATTCTATATTTGTATTCCAATTTACTTTCATGATAATGCTCCTAATTTAAAGGAGAACTATAGGCTACACCTTGAGTCTTGGATACGGAATGACCTTATCAAAGTGAAGTACGATGAATAAAAACAGAAATACGTTATAATCCAAATTTACATACAGCTGTGTATTATGGAATGACAACTTATGACAATATAAAGCTCACCGGTACATGTATCCCATGCTATCTCAGCTCACCGGTACATGTATCCCATGCTATCTCAGCTCACCGGTACATGTATCCCATGCTATCTCAGCTCACCGGTACATGTATCCCATGCTATCTCAGCTCACCGGTACATGTATCCCATGCTATCTCAGCTCACCGGTACATGTATCCCATGCTATCTCAGCTCACCGGTACATGTATCCCATGCTATCTCAGCTCACCGGTACATGTATCCCATGCTATCTCAGCTCACCGGTACATGTATCCCATGCTATCTCAATACCTTACTGAGGGGCGAAGCACGCAGTGGTACAGTAGAGGATACTGATGAAACTACTATAATGATAAGTCAATATATCAAATTGTATATCAAATTAAACAACTCACAATAACCCATGGGTTTTGTCAATGTTGCTTCGGCGTCGTCCCGTCCCGTAACGTTTGTGCCACCGATGGTTCCACAGTCTAGTCGATGTCGCCTTGCTGTCCCGGACTGATACTGTATATTTGGTATATATGACATGAAATAAGGACAACAAGACATGTTGATCCTATATATCTGAATGTTGTGAAGGCGAGGCCACCGCTACACTCTACTCTGCTAATGATAGCGGGGTGCCACTACGGTCTTACAACTGTACTGTATGACGATACCACTTCATTGAATGAGTATTATGAAGCCCGGAAAGTCAGATATTTAGGGAAGAAAACAAAATATTGAGGTCCAAAGTGTTGTAATCGGGTAGTAGATCAATATTGGACCGTTCCAATGTCCCCTAAGCAGACGACAGAAAAGATAACCTTTGATTCTAAAGGGATTCCCCCATTAGACACCGCCTAATATATGTATATGTACATGTAGTGGGGCACAACAGGTATTTTCCACCCGAACCTGCAGCGATTTCATCTTCTGGTGATGAAATCGTAAAGCTCCTTTCGACTGTGATACTACAAATTCTATTTTGTGGATTATACTATTAAGTGCCATTCTGGCGTTAACAATAACCTTATAACTGCAATATGGCGCAAACATTTCACATTGTTTTGCTTTCTGCATTACCAAACTATTTTTTTTTCTCAAAAAGGTGTTTAGCTGGTGATTAATTTAGTAACAAGGTACATGTAATAACTTTGTTGAAGGTATATTAGTTCCAGAATTTGGCCTTTACGTTTTATCTGAAAATATTATGACAAAGTTTAAATGAGATTATCTAAGAATAGATATCTGCTGTGAGTTTGTAACATAGTGTAGGGCTTTAAAGCAACATTTCCATTTTGCAGTATTTTTACATGTTTTAAAACAGGTTTGACATGAAAAATTAGTCATTTCGACCTCATTACATCACTGATGAGTACTTAATAGACAAAATGGCCAAGTGGTGCAGTCAATATTCGGCTTTCTGCATCAAACTTTATTAAAATTTATGTTCATTTCTCTAGATTATGTAGTGCTAAGGGAAGTAACTCCAATTTATGTGGGCAAAGAATGCTTTTAAACCTGTTATCTGATCTACTTGGTAACTGTAAATGTCATACCTACTTTTGTCAAACCTCCACATGCCCATACCTTCCTCCAATATACACTTCCCTATTTTAAACCTTATTTATTTTTCAACATTTATAAAACAAGTAATTTATATCACTGATAAATACTATATGGACAAAATGGCCAAGTGTTGCAGTCAATATTTGGCCTTCTGCATCAACACTTTTCTTAAAATATCCATTTCCTTTAGCTTCCTTCGCTTATCTAGAGATGTATACTTCACCTGTATCATGAAGATCAATTGTAGAAGCAAGACAGACGATTGCAAAGTTGTGCGTTACAAACTTATGGTTAAGAGAGGCCATTTGATGTTTTAAAGCATTTAAACTTTGACATATTTTGCTTCAAAACAGGTCAAATATAGCTTGTTTTAAGACTCTAGACCTTTGTACCAGATGAACTGAAAATGATGTACACTGTTATAATGTGAAATAATGTAACTTGTTTTCCAATCTTAACTATTTTGTTCAAACAAGTAAAATAAAACCTGACTCATACTTGACACATCAAAGTTTTATTTTTTAATTAAAACAAATTTAATACAAACAACAATAAATATGTCAACTTGTAAGGACTTCAGCTCCATCGTCTGTTATGAGAATGGTGTTTTCAAACTGGGCTGACCGCCCACCGTCATTTGACACACATGTCCAGCCATCTTTTAGCACCGTGTATTCCGTACTACCTTCACAAACCAGTGGCTCTGCAACAGACAGAAGTCAATTGTAGTGCTAAGGGAAGTAACTCCAATTTATATGTGCAAGATCTAAATATGAAGATAATACTTTCTCTAAAAATTATATATTTATAGTGCCATATCATAGAAGAAATGCTCTTTTAAAGAACCTGTTATCTGACCTACTGTAAATGTCATGCCACTTTCTGTTCAATATATATTTACATATATCTGAAGGCATCCCATTCACCATTAAACTGTACTTCCTTATCTTAAATACATGTATATTAAAATGTATATACATCTATGTAATATAAACTTTATTTATTTAACAACAATTTTGAAACAAGTAATTAAAGCATTAAAGCCACTTTGGTCTCTGAGGAGTATAACCTATAGATAGATAGTAAATCCAGCTTTATCACTCTTGTTAGCCCAGATTGAGGCACATAGAGGGTTTTAATGTGTTATCTATTGGAGAAAACTGAAGTACCCAGAGAAAACCCACGTGGTCGAGCAGCTGACCCAATACCTTTTCACATGCATCCATTCTGGAAATCAAACCACTGGCGTCTTGTGAGGACCAAGTGCACATGTACTATCCACCAGACCACTGGACCAACCACTTGCCCATTGTAAAGGTAACAACAATCTCCATTAATACTTACCTATTGTAAAAGTCATCCCAGGTTGCATTAAAACTTCCTCCTCAGGTTCATGTGCTGAAACATAAATTGATGCAACGTATCATGTGGACAGTAGGCATGTTGTTGATGCCTCCCAGATAGTGATGGGCAATAGTATTAAAATTGTAATCAATAATCGCTTGGTAATCGGAAGTAGTAAACAATTTGATGATCTATTGCATAATCCGTTCATAATTTTATGGGACTGAATACCCAAATAAAGTGAGAACACTACCACAACATCAACATACAGAGTTGTTAACTATACATTAGACTTCGATCTTTTATAATCCAGCAATTTTTGTGCAGTTTTATCAATCAAATGGATTAAGTCATTCACTTTCAGCCAGTTAAGGTGACCACTGGATAAGCCATTTTAATTATCTAACAGCTAATATTACGAACAAAAACTAACAGGTTTTGAGCACAGGTTTACTTTATCTTGATAACATGTATCTTAAACAAAATTCCATTTCAAATGAGGTTAATGAAATGCATGTATCAGTTTTAAATCATATGGATGCACACAATAGGTCTTTTGAGGAGATAAAAATAGAATCTATAAATACACATGTGTAACACAAAATCAAAGGTTATTTGGAATTTCTTTTTCATTCAGTTGTGTAAAACATTTATGATTTTCAGCATATTTAAATACAGAAACAAACAAAAATTATTGTGTTTCTGTGTGGTTTTGTCTTCAGATAATAACCTGCAATGCAAATACCTGGTAAATATGAATTAGCTTGAATTGCAGTCTTCTTTCTGAAAACATACTAGCTTAGAGAAACATACTAGCTTAGAGTTTCCTATTCAGGCTGTCTATACATGTAGTTTAATTGGGTGAAATGTCTCTATGATTTTTGATAGCTGATTTTACTGATTCTGCACACTATGGCTTAGAAAGTTTAGAGTTGAGACATCGGTCATTTGCACTCTAAGCTTGACAAAGGAAAGGGACATTTTCGAAAGCTTTCAAAATAAGTTTTCAATTCCTGTTTGTGTTCAAAACAAACTTAGCCGTTATTATTCCTACCAAACTGATAAACTTTAATTGAACAATGAACATGCTCTACATAAATGTTGATGTAGATACTTACCAACATGGATAACGTCAGGAGGTCCGTGAAAATATGTACCAATGCCATGACCTAATATGTCCGGTACAACTGACAATCCCTCTGACTCTGCAACCATACTAAAACAATATACATGTCATACTGAAGTTTGAGGGAACACCCTGCATAGCCTAATTGGTAGTTATTTTTTCAGCCAGCACACTACTTAAGGACCCTACCTATATTGAAATACAGAATTTGTTTTCTTCAAAATTTTATAATTGCAAAATATCTCCTGTTAACCTTATCCATTAAAATCCCACTGAAACTTCTTTAAAAACCAATTAAGTAATTAATGGCTTTCCAACTTTCCCAAGGCTAAATATTTAGAGCTGACTACACGAAAATCTGTTGTCTTTGCTAGTAATGGATGTGTTGTATTTACCAACCTTATAGCATCTCCAATAACACTCATTGGCTGTCCAGGTCCGCACACACTGATACCAGCGTACTGACATTGTCTGGCCACATCCACTAAATGTTTACCATCTCCATCTACATTCCCCACTAGATATGTTTCTGACAAATCACCATGATAACCATCCAAAAATATCTGCAAAAGCGACATTGAAACAGTTTTTACAATCTTAACACGCACTGTAGAGGCAGAGTATCAATTTTAAGTCTGGTAAACCAGTAATCAAACGCACAAATCAAATATTTTTGATAACATACATGTATCCTAGACTTTCAAAAGTAGTATATTAGGAGTAGAAATAGTTTTACTTGTTAAATTTTAAACACATTGTTCTAGAATGGAAAGATAGATTTGCTTGATGCTATATTTGTTGATGTAGAAACCTTAGGTAAAATGTACCTACAGTCACATCAATATTGATGATATCTCCACTGTATAGGGGTCGGACATCGGGGATACCATGAACCATTACATTGTTAACCGACGTACAGATAGATTTGTAATACAGGTTGTAGAATAAAGGAGATGGGTAACACTTGTGTTCAATGCACATCTCATGGGCGAACTTGTCAAGTTCGTCAGTAGTTACTCCAACCTTTGGGGGGGAAAAAACAAAAACAAAAAAAAAGTTAAATACAATTAATTTGTACATTTTTTCATCTGAACTCTGATAATTCAGGAACAGAGCAATACAGTATTTGCTTTACCATGTGTTATGTTACCAGGAAAAACATGAGTTTTTAAAAAAATAATATATAATAATAATAATTATACATTTCACTAAACAAATCCTTACAATGAAATAATGCTTTTCTTAAAACCTTTTTCAAAATGAAAACTGTCTTTAACAAAACATGAAAGGTAAAAGTAAAAACAAAGGAAAAATTACAAACCTTAATCTGTTCAGCAGTTGCATCAAGAATTTTTCTTGCAAGTTGACAGACATTTCTCATTTTTTTAATTTGTTTTTCATTTTTCAGTTCAAGTTCCTCTTGTTTCCCAACTGTAGGGTTTTCAACATAGGAAGGCATTGGGATCCGATCTCTGGGAAAATCCCTCAAAGGTGTACAATGAGCTGGACGTACAAGTTTAAACTCTCTCCTTGAATAATGGAACTTTGAAATCTTTGGCTCTGATGTACATGTGACATCTGACAATGTGCAATATTTTGAACCATTTTTCAAAAGCATTCTATAGGATGACAACAGTCTTGGAACTGTAATAAAAAAAGAGCCTTTTTTATGATTAAGTTTGCAAATTGCTGTTAGAACATCTAAATAACTTTCGAAGGTTCAATTTTATTACAAAGAAGTAGAACTCTACTGAACATTTTAAAACAAATTTTAAAAGATAAAAGGGCAACATTTCAGAATAATTTCATTTCAATTTTCTATGAATTTGTTTTAATTCACTTAAGTTTGAATATCAAATTCATCTGAGACAAGTATGACATATATATACCCACAGTTGTATAGCTGAAATCAATTTAACTACAGGTAACATGTTAATTTCTTCATGCCCAGCAAATACATAACGGGTGGAGATCTGAACTGTTTTCATGTTATAATGTCCTAGTGACTGTAACTTCTCAATACATTTTAGTCCCTAGAAGTGGGTCTGGAGCTTGTGGGTGCATTCATCTTTTAAAGCCAAGCAAAAATGAATGCAATTTAGAGTAGGGATCTCGGCCATTACTAGATGGAGAACATTTTAAAGATTTTTTTCTACGATACGGCTCTATTCCTCATTCCCAAGGTGGGTCACACCTAATTCATACAGCTGCATAAGTAAGAGTACAGTATGTAAGATTTTGAATAATATAGCACCAGATTTTATCAGTGACCTTGTGGAGAAAAATAATGTCTTATATAATTTCAGGAAAACAAACACCATGAGAGTACCAAGGGCTAGAACCACAAGGTATGGCAAGATGTCATTTCTTGTTGAGGCCGCCCGGGTATGGAACAGCCTGTCTAATGAACTAAGGTGTGCTGTTAACTATAATACCTTCTGCAGGCTGTTGCGTACCTGGGATGGCCAGTTATGTACATGTAGTTGTGCTACATGTATATGTGTGGAGTAAATGTCTAGCTTTTATGGTTTTTATTTCAATTTGTGTTTAGCTTTTTCTCTTAACTTAATAAATGACAGTGTTTTCTTTTAACTTATGCTAGTATTAGCATATATTCTGGTATTTTTTTTTTTTGCCATATTGGCATAGGTATATTAGGTATCCATGCCATTTAAATAATTTGTGTGTAGCATGAACTTTATGCCATATCACTCTTACACTAAAAAATTTAGTGCTATTTTGTTGTTTGCTTGCTTACAAGTAGTAACTTGTGCATGCTGTGATAAATCGTCACATACATGCAACAAAGCATATGTATGTACCCGGGTATGTATTGTTGTTTGTTTGCCTACAAGTGGTACTTGTGCATTTCTGTGATATATATGTATGTATGTATGCATTGTGTTTGCTTTGCCTACAAGCTTAAGTGGTACTTGTGCATTTCTGTGATATGTATGTATGTATGTATGTATGTATGTATTGTGTTTGCTTGCCTATAAGTGGTACTTGTGCATTTCTGCGATATATATGTATGTATGTATGCATTGTGTTTGCTAGCCTACAAGCTTAAGTGGTACTTGTGCATTTCTGTGATATGTATGTATGTATGTATGCATTGTGTTTGCTTGCCTACAAGTGGTACTTGTGCATTTCTGTGATAAAAATGTGTGTATGTATGCATTGTGTTTGCTTGCCTACAAGCTTAAGTGGTACTTGTGCATTTCTGTGATATGTATGTATGTATGTATGCATTGTGTTTGCTTGCTTACAAGTGGTCCTATTTGTGCATTATGTGATATATATGTATGTATATATGCACATTATTGTATGTATGTAATAATAATAATAATTTAAGGTTCTTATAAACTGCTTTATCACAACTTAGTTCGTAGGTCGTCTCAAAGCAGTTCACAAAGTATTATCCGTGGTTATAGGGCCTTTGTAACCATGCAGCCAATACCTTTCTCAACTCCCTGGGGAGCATGCATACAGCCGGTGCTGCCATTTCGGTGCTAACAGCAACAGCATTCAACAATTCTAGCACTGCCCAACCACCTTTTCATTTACAGCTGAGTAGACTGGAACAAGCGGAGTAAAGTATCTTGCTCAAAGATACAACACTGTGCCATGCCATGCCGTGTCTCGAACCCATAACCCTTCGGTCACGAGCCTGGCGTCCTACCACTAGACTATACCGCACCTCCATCATTGTTGTTTGCTTGCTTACAAGTGGTACTAATGCTGTGATATGTATGAATGTATGTTAATTATGATGTATGTATGTATGTAATGTATGTATGTATGTATGTATTGTTGTTTGCTTGCTAACAAGCAGTTCTCTGATTTGTATTGTTTAGTCCCTTAAGCTGTTTTTATTCTTTATTCAACATGCATGCTGTGATATTTTGTTTTGTTTGTAATTTTCTATGCATTTATTCATGTATTGTCGTAATAATAGCTCTACAGAGCTAATGTTCATTGTTTAACATGTATGTACGACTCTAAATACATTTTCTTGTATCTTGCATCTTTTACAGTAGTGATCACCATGGCCTAACAATGCTCCAGAACATATTTGGTTAAAATCCATTCATAGCATACATTCAGCCCGAGTTTTCTCTGGCCCTGACACCAGACTTAGATATTTTGACAGATTAGATATCCCACACCATACATCTATCTGTCAAAATGTCTAAGTCTGGTGTCAGGGCCAGAGGAAACTCGGGCTAAGTATACATTATGGAAGGAGAACAATTTTATGGATTTACCCCCATTTCACCTATTAAGCCCCACTTCTCTTCCCCCAGGGACAAACCCCCTACTTACAAAGCACTGAGTCCCCATTAGCTGCGATAACGTAGCTTTCTGACGACGAGAGATTTTTTTTATACATTGCGTCGTCAGGGCAGCTAGAGGAGGCCGGGTATTAATATTAGTACTATGAGCCCCCTTACCCCAAGTATGTGTTCCACCTAAAATTATATCCATAGTGGTTCATTCCGGCCACCACTTTTGAATCGAATTTGTAACGTATATTAATAAAAGTTATATCAACATTATAAATTATAAAATTATCAGATTATAAAATTATCTTGTCTAGAGTAGAGTGGTCACTGAACAAAAATCGTTTCAGTAACTAACGAGTTATGGATCAAAAATAGCAATTTACGAGAAAGCTTAATTAATATAAACTTATATTTTTGTCCTTATTTTTTACATGACCTCGATTCATTCCAGCCACCACTTTCACGGTCAATATGTAAGGTGTGTTCAAACAGTTGATATCATCTTAACAGAGTACCGTGGGGCGGAACAATATACACCTGTCAAATGCCATATAGTGTTATATACTTTCTTACATTGAAATAAGATCTGCATCATTCAAAGAGTTTTCAAGGAAACACAACAACATATCATGATTATTTAGCATACTAAGTTTCAATGAAAACTGCCAAAAAATGTAGGAGGAGATTGCCGGACAAAAAATCAAATACTGAAATGAACAAAGGGCAATAACTTTTGCAAAAATAGTTGATTCAAAATTCTTTTCAAGGAAACACAACAACATATCATGATTATTTAGCATACTAAGTTTCAATGAAAACTGCCAAAAAATGTAGGAGGAGATTGCCGGACAAAAAATCAAATACTGAAATGAACAAAGGGCAATAACTTTTGCAAAAATAGTTGATTCAAAATTCTTTTCAAGGAAACACAACAACATATCATGATTATTTAGCATACTAAGTTTCAATGAAAACTGCCAAAAAATGTAGGAGGAGATTGCCGGACAAAAAATCAAATACTGAAATGAACAAAGGGCAATAACTTTTGGAAAAATTGTTGAATCAAAATTCTTTTAAGGGAGACACAACAACATATCATGATTATAATGTGTATTAAGTTTCAAAGAGATCTGTTGAAAAATGTAGGAGGAGATTGCCGGACAAAAATCAAATACTGAAATGAACAAAGGGTAATAAATTTTGGAAATTGTCGAATCAAAATTCTTTTAAGGGAGACATGTACACAACTTTATATTAAGATTATAATGTATACCAAGTTTCAAAGAGATCAGTCGAAAAATGTGAAGTTTACGCCGAACGGACTGACAAAGCCATACCATAATACTCCCGTCAAATTTGACAGGCGTATAAAAAATTCCCTTGGCCAGAGTGGTCTCCGAACAAAAATCAGTTCAGTTTTATTCGAGATATATGAGTTTTATTTGAACGAATACTGTTGAAAATATTGCCAGTTTTATTTCATAGTGGTTTATTCCGGCCACCACTTTCACTTCTAATTTAAAATACTGCTTAGCATAACTTATACCATTGTAACCACATGGGCATGGATAACTTTACTTGTAATATTAAAAAATAGGGGTCTCCTGTATTTTTTAGTAGAGTAGACCCCTATTTTTAATTCTGTATTACAAGTAAAGCGATCCATGTCCCTGTGTCCTCATGCCATGGCCCAACCTAATTGTTTATACGGGCACTGAAACTGGGCATTAACATCGCATTGTTTAATTACTATGACAAGACTAACTTAATCTGTCCACGGAATTAGATTCCGTGATCTGTCGTTATAATGACGTGATGCCGATGGTTGCATACTGACTGCAAAGATTCAAGTATCTATATATATATATATAACTGGTAATGAATTTAATACTGTTTTGTTCAGCTGTAAACTAATGTTACTACAAGTTTACCTATCCTGGAGTAGTGACACTCATCTGATGAGTCAACTCCACAACGGGAAGAAGAAGAAGTGTACAACTGTACCTACATGTAGTACCTACCCTTGCTACTCATTTTTGGAGACGGACGATCGTAGGTGGTAGGTAAATCTTGTACGCCGCTCCCGCTCCCGTCCCAAACCCCGTACCAGGAATATATAGATATTTTAATATCTCATTAACGCGATCGTTGTTTTTTTTTATAAAATTATACAATAATTTCAAACATTATTTTCTAAATGTGACTGTTAATAAAATGTAAATTTATCATCTAATAATTTAGAAATTGACGATAATGTTTATTTCAAGGGGGTAAAACTTGTACGCCGCAGTCAACCGTGAAAATCACGGTTTTTCATATATAATTAGATATTTAGTGAAAATTAACATGTTATTTTCAGATATATAGAACAAAATACCTTACTGTTTATAATTATGTAAGTTTCGTTGAAATAAACGACATATTTCACATGAAATTCTGACTTTGTTGTGATCGCGGGTGTTTTGTTTACTCCCGTACCCGTGCTAAGGGGTCATCACTCTGTCAATCTATGTCGTTATCAAGTAGAACTCTTCGCCATTCTAAAAAAATACCAAAAATACTTCTGACTTTTATAGCTGTTTTATGAACACTTACCACACTTCCAAATAATACTATCCCTAGAAAAATGTAAATCTGACAGATCACTTACACATCTATTATGAAACCATCTGTCACAGCCAGCATCACAAGAAACCATATCATCAAATACATTTGAGATGTGACACCCATCTGCTTCGTAATCCGAGCGGAAATGGTCCATATCCGCTCACAGAGATGCTGGAATCGCTCGAGGACGATGGGTACTGTATCACGAGCTAGGTTGTTAGCTCCACAATGAATGACAATGATGTCATACTTGTGAACAACCTCCTCGATCACGTCCCACATCGCCTCAATGCGAAAGCCGCTCCTGGAGATGACAAAAATATCATCCCTTGGACGCAAGTACTTATGGTACTCCAACAATGTTAGAGGTTTTACACGACGAAAAACTTTCGCAGTCGGCAAAATCATATCCGATTGAAAAACGGCCGACCAGCGGCCTCTCATGTTATGGGAGTAGTACTTATGGAAGTACTTGGCCTGTGAGTAACCAACTATAAGTGTAGACATGGTATAGGAAACTGAATACTATGCAAGCAATATGCAAATATTGTGATGGGAGAAGGAACATATCCCCTAAATATAATAAAGTTGGTTTGATGTAAACACATCTCAGGGCAATTCGAAGAATTTCATTGGTCAATCTCACCATCTAATTAATATAGTAATTAAAAAATAACGTCATATTGTGATAGCTCATCACTATTTTTATATTTCCTCAACGTGTAAAAATAATAATTGATGGAATAGTAATTGCTGCATGAGTTGCAGTTCAATATCTGATACTCCAGGTATGATAAAATAACATTGTTATATGGCCTAATTAATATGGCTTTAATTAATCATGCTTAACACTCATAGGCTTGCAGCTGTATCAACAATGGATTAAAGAATTATTTAAGGAATGATTTTTATTTTTTCAACAGTTATGACCTAATAAATGTTGAAAAAATAAATATCATTCCTTATATTTACATTGACGAATCCTTTCAGTGGATCGATATAACAACGAATAAAACAAATAAACAGGGTTTGTTCCTGCTTATACACGGGTGCAACGCAGTGGCGAGAACAGTGTTTTTTCGCGGGGAAATGTGCCACTATCGTGAGAGATCTTAGCAACCGTCAACAACAATAACACAACAAAATGTAGTTCCATATTCAATGTTTATTTGTAGCACAGGACACGTGAATACGTGGATATTTCACAAAGCACAGTTCAATAATATTTTAAGATGTAAGAATTAAGCATCTAGTTCGGTCGTTCCGAGTGAGAAGTTTTTGTAGTGTATTACTACGCAGTGTGATCAGGTTACTATCAGTTCCCACGTGCTGAGATTCTATGAACACCTGTGTTATGCATTTATGAATGTAATTTTTGTCAATGGGTCTAAGCATACAGAATGTAAATATAATGGTGTATCTTTTACCTTCTACATCTTATAAGCTTGTGGCGTTTGATGTGTTGTGATAAGGGATTATTCTCTTATTCATTACATATAAAAAAATACAGATTATTAAATGAAAAAGAAATAATGAAATAGTTGTATTAAAAGGTTTTTTTACATATTATGCATATTTAGCACGAGTGTTGACGGAGTGATGTCCCCTTAGCACGGGTACGGCAGTAAACAAAACACCCGCGATCACAACAAAGTCAGAATTTCATGTGAAATATGTCGTTTATTTCAACGAAACTTACATAATTATAAACAGTAAGGTATTTTGTTCTATATATCTGAAAATAACATGTTAATTTTCACTGAATATCTAATTATATATGAAAAACCGTGATTTTCACGGTTGACTGCGGCGTACAAGTTTTACCCCCTTGAAATAAACATTTCTAAATCATTAGATGATAAATTTACATTTTATTAACAGTCACATTTAGAAAATAATGTTTGAATTTATTGTATAATTTTATAAAAAATATAAACGATCGCGTTAATGAGATATTAAAATATCTCTATATGCCTGGTACGGGTTTTTGGGACGGGAGCGGGAGCGGTGTACAAGATTTACCTACCACCACGATCGTAGCCGCTTATGGGTTTGAAAACACGTCACTGGAATAGATGTAAAGTGAAACTAAACACAAAAATATAATATATGCCTTTTGTGACTTGTCTATACAAGATGCAATCAAAGTTGTTGTTTTCTAAGAAGACTAGATGTCCCCCGATATCTAGCGCTTTCGTTTGAGGAAAAAACAATTGATCGGTCTTTTAAACATCGTAAGCGACGGGAACCGAGCGACACATGTAAACTTCTCAGCTGTAAACTGCACCGGTTTTTATTCCAACCATTAACAATTTCTCCGGTATTTGTTCTGAAAATTTATTAATCTGAGGTAAATTGTGGGCTTGGAGCATATTCCTTATTGGTGGTTACTCTGCATATATCTCAGCTACTATAAAATATCCTCTGAAACTGTTCAAACTCTATTCCAATTTGTTGGCCAATCAGATTTCCCCACATCAGCTGTGCTATTGTTGCAATGTTTATGTGTCGGACGTCGACAGTATGAGTATAAGGGACGTGTATGTACAATTATAACAAATATCCTTATGCATTGTGTCTTGGCCATGGTATGATCTTGCTTCCATCGTGGTTTATAAATATACAATGTAAGTTCATCAACATCATAGTGTAGATAGATCAAATATACTCATTTTTAATCATTATTAATCAAAATGATTTACCTATTCAGTTACATTCGGGATTCCAATTCAGCATGTACTTGTATGCACCTGTGTAAATCTAGACACAATATTTACAGCTTATTTTGTTTAAATATTATTCTTATTGGTTACTTTATTTAAAATATACCTGTATGGAATGACTTGGCCTTTCAGGCGACAATTGATGAATTAACAAATTAGAGCCAAGTACAGTTTGAATCTATTATATATATCTTAACAGTGTTTATTCTCAGGATTTTTCGGGGCCCCATTTCCAATTGAAACTATATTTCATATTTATGTCTACAATATGTAATTCCAAAAATTTGCCGTTTACTCATGAACATTTCCTTCACAATTGGTTTATTTTTTTCACAGAATGATTAAAAATCTAAGGCCCCATCCAAAATAAATAGAAAAAAACACTGTTAAAATCAATTGCACTTTCTTCATTGCCATTTCATCAGCATTCGCCCAATGTTTGGTGCTTTAAGCACATATTCTGTGCTAGAGCTATGACCCAAAATTATAAAAGTCACAATATTTGGTCATCAGATCAACAATGAGTGATGGCAAACCAATATCACATGAAACTATACATTAATTAACATGTGTCTTCTTAAGACTTTAATAATAAAACAGCTATAATTTATCTACTGGCATTTTAATGAAATATTGTAAACTGCCTTGTTTTCACATCATTTGCTGCAAAGCTCTACACAAACGTTAAAGGATAGTTGTAACTTAAAAACTGATGGCACCAATAGTAAAGCATGCATGCATTCAATGCTCAAAAGATCAGAGCACAGAAATTTGACTTGCACATCAACTAAACTGGCATGGATGACCCATATGATTGGAGTATTTTTTTTACTTCATGTAAACTATACATGTATACATTTTGTATCAACCCATAGAAAAATGATTGATACCATAAATTCATGTACATTAAAAAGGAAATGTAAATATTACATTTTTTTTTAATTTTGTAGACAAAATTTTGAGGAAAAATGGATTTACATATTTCTTGGACTTTTCTCATCCCTCTGATGCTCATACTTACTGAAGCAAAGAAGGACAAGGAGCTGTATTGTGCAGGTAAATTCTATACAGTTTACACATTTTATTTAAATTCTATGCAGGTAAAATTTACAGACAGTAAGTTTCATTGCATGCTTTCTTTCATAAATTTACTTATTTTAAAAATAATGGCAAAAAATAATATCATCAACAGATATGAAATCCTAGCTTTTATTCTGTACTCTTCGAAACATAATCAAAATTTTAGAATTGATGATTTTCACACCATAGACAAAAGGTCTTTCTTTTAGACCTTCTGAACATTTGATAGATGCTTGATCTTACCTAGGAGTTTAAAATACTTGTAACATGATATAATGAAAATATGTAATAATGACGGAAGACAAGTAATATCACGGTGGACTTTTTCACATGCTAAGTTGCTACTATGTTTATCTTTGAATAAATACATAGGAAATAATTTTGTAGACATCTTGGTCTATGAAGTAAATAATTCCTATAGACCTTTAGTATTTTTAATTTCATGGTGATTGTCTATCAGTCTAGACACCAATTGTGTTTCACCTTAAAAGCTATTCAATTTAATAGATGTTTTTGTCTTCAAAAAGATTCATCAGTTTGGAAATATGTGATATCAAAGTTTTCCTTTCTACATATTAAACGTGTTGCAACGTTTCAAGACCGACTGGTCCCTTTGTCAAGCTATGACTGAAACTTTAATATCAGATATGTTTTTGGTTTCAGTTTGCAGAGCCTTGGTGGATGAGATTCACTTTAGTATAAGTGAAGTTGATCCAAAGAAATTGGTACAGGTTGGAAGTTTTCGGATTGATGGTAAAGGAAATCAATTGACAAAACAGGTATATATATTGATTCGCGTTTGATCCAATCACTGGGATTTCATTTTTTGTCAAATCAATATTATGTGACTGGGGTAAAGAAACAGAAGAAGAAAAAAGTAATAACTTAAAGAGGCTGCACCCTTTTGTAACAGCCTCATTTATATACATGATAGAATATACTACACCTAGGGCCATTATCATACACACATTTGTCCGCATACAAGAAACGTGTGTTACATCGGATGAAGACCGTTGATATTAATGGAAAGAAAAATTAGGTTGTTTGTTTCAGTATAAAACACATACAATGTAGATTTAAGCACTTTACTACAAATAGTGATAATTTTGATTGCACAATGATCTGTACATCAAAAAATTTACATTTGATGACTTATGAACACTTATATATATGTTCTCAGTACATTTTAGATGTTAGTATTCTTCTGATGTGTACAGAAGATTTTTTTTAAATAATTCAAGTGATAGTTAATTTGCATAATTATTTTTCAAGCAAAATTTTATTTCATTCAAATTATTTTAATTCTTATTCATATTTTTTTTTTTTTTTGTATTTTCCAATTGCAGGTTCCCCTTGCAAGATCAGAATTACATCTGACAGAGTTGATGGAAGGGGTATGTGAGAGATTTAAAGACTATGCAGAGACCAAAAATTCTGAGGGGAAAAAAAGTGTCCTAAGAACTGCCTCAAGAAATGGGAAACCTATATCACTGCAAAACATATCTATCAGTACTGAGAAACAGAAACTCATACGATTTGCTGTGAGTAAAGGAAATCATAATTTGTTTTAATTTTACTATTACAAGATCCCTTATGTATCTACATAAGTATGTGGAAACCTAGTCCTGTGATTAAAATTTCAGTATATAGGTGATTGCTGTGACAGTCATAACTTGTCAAAAACAAAATAAGTATTATAATCATAATGTTCAATTAAGTCTGAAAATGGATAAGAATAAAAATTCTATCAAGATAATTACACAAGTCAATACTTTTTTGATTATCCCCTGCTTTCACCGAAACAGGGGATATTAATTTGGATCTGTCTGTCTGTCCGTCTGTCTGTCTGTCACGCTTCCTATATGGCAATAGCTACAACAAATGTTAAGCGATTTTCTTCAAACGTGGTCACAAGGTTAAATGCCTTAAGGGCTCGGCCATGTTTTATAACCACTTTAATCAGCTCCATTTGGCAGAGTTATGGCCCCTTGATTAACGGAAAATGTCATTATCTGCAGTTTCCGCTTAATAACTCTAGCAAATATTAGCCAAATTCCTTCAAACGTGATGACAATGTTTGTGTTCCTCTGTCCTTCCACCCATCTCCGGCACTCTTTTGTTTTCGTGTGATAATTGCAGCAGATATTGTTCAGATGTTTCAACCAAATTCCATATGCACATCCGACTCATGCTAAGTTTACCAACCGATGTGATTTGTGCATATTTACGCCTATACATTATGTCTCAACAGCACGGTACTCACATGTTTAAACCTTACCTCAATAATGTTAACCTACAATATGTCCTGCAAGCGGGGGATATAAATTTCACAAGTTTGTTTGTTTATTTTGTTTTAATGATTTTTCATTCAAATTTGCACTGTAGCTTAAAAATGAACGCTTAAAGTCAGTCACAAACCATTATAGAATTATCTAAACAGTTTTGATGGAATTAAGCTGCGTTCCTTACATTATCCTAATAATACAAGACCATTTTTTAGCTCACCTGGCACGAAGTGCCAAGTGAGCTTATGCCGTGGCGCGGCTTCCGTCGTCCGTCCGTCCGTCCGTCCGTCCGTCCGTCGTCCGTCCGGCGTCCGGCGTCAATATTTTACTTTAAACGACTTCTTCTTAATAACCGAAAGGCCTAGGGTGTCAATATTTGGCCAGAAGCAAACTTGGATGAAGGGCTACAAAGTTTGTTCAAATAAATGACCTTCAATTATATTCAAGGTCACAGGGGTCAATTGTATTAAAAAACCTTTAAACAACTTCTTCTGAATAACCAAAATGCTCAGGGTGATGATATTTAGCCAGTAGCATGCTGAGATGAAGTGCTACAAAGTTTGTTCAAATGAATGACCTTCACCCATATTCAAGGTCACAGGGGTCAAATATGTTAAAAACTTTAAACAACTTCTTCTCAATAACCAAAATGCCCTGGGTGATGATATTTGGCCAGTAGCAAGCTGAGATGAAGGGCTACAAAGTTTGTTCAAATAAATGACCTTCACCCATATTCAAGGTCACAGGGGTCAAATATGTTTAACACTTTAAACAACTTCTACTGAATAACCAAAATGCCCAGGGTGATGATATTTGCCCAGTAGCTAGCTGAGATGAAGGGCTACAAAGTTTGTTCAAATGAATGACCTTCAACCATATTCAAGGTCACAAGGGTCAAATATGTTTAAAAATTTCAACAAC